GTCTAATCGCGCCGGCTCTCTCTTGCAGGTCTTCAACGCGCACTACAACCTGACGCGCCACATGCCGGTGCACACGGGGGCCCGGCCCTTCATCTGCAAGGTCTGCGGCAAGGGATTCCGCCAGGCCAGCACCCTCTGCCGCCACAAGATCATCCACACCCAGGTAGCGAGCGCGCGCCGGTTCCTGTCTACAGCCTCTCTCCGCGGGGCGACCCCGAAACACCCCCTGCCGGAGGGTCCCTCGCCCGGCTACGGTCAGCCAGGATTCGCCACCCTTCCTGCGCCTTCTTTCCCGCTCCAGGCTCGGGGGGCTCCCCCAATTCTCCCTCTCCTTCCCCTCTGCTTTGTGCGCCTCGCCTAAAAACGGGAGGGGAAAGCGGAAGAGAGGCGAGAAGGTGTGCAGAGGCGAGGGGGGGGTTCTGTCTTGTCTTGCCTCGTTGTCCCTCATTCTTACCCCTTTTCCCTGGAGAATGTCCCCAGTCTCCAAGCCTGAGAGACGACCTCGTCTGAAATGAGGGCCTTCGTTTGCACACCCGATGGGGTGTTCCCGCATTTGGGAAATCTACCCAGTCTTTCTCTAAACGCGTTGGGTGAACTAAGCCACACTATGGTTTCTCTCCAGCTGACAGATAATACAAACACAGCAATTGTGTTTTAATCATCTGGTTTTAGGTTTTCCCGCATTGTGTGAATGAAACTCTACACCAGACACCTCTTCATCACATACGCATGCACGCACACGCAAGCACGAGCCACTGTCCATCATAACCTGGTAACCTCTCAGGGGCTCTACTCGGCCTCCTTTTCTTTGGGAATAAATTCAGTTGCACATTGGTGGAGAGATTCCCAAATCACCCAGACTGCACTGAAACCACAGATTTTCCCCCTTTGGAGCCAGCCTCATCTCATCTCCTCCCCTTTGCTTCCTTTTTGAGAGGGTGGGGCCCCGTTAAAAGAGCCCTTTCGGTAGGAAACCAGGGTTGATTTCAAGCCCGCGGTTGTTGCTCTGCTGTGCACTACAGCCGCGGGATGACCAGGCCCCAGGGCGGCCCCCGTTCTCCCAAGCGAGCATCTGGATGTAGATCTGCTTTTGATGTTGTTTCTCTCCCCACAGGAAAAGCCCCATAAGTGCAACCAGTGCGGGAAAGCATTTAACCGGAGTTCCACGTTAAACACCCACACACGGATCCACGCAGGCTACAAACCTTTCGTCTGCGAGTTTTGTGGAAAAGGCTTTCACCAAAAAGGTAAACCAAACTGCTGAGAACCGGGTGCCAAACAAGGAATGAATTATTCCTGTGAAACGGAGCCTGAGGCTGAAGTGGGGGCCTGCAGGTTTGTTTCTGGTGGGAGACCTGGGCAGTTCCTTCGGAGTAGACCAGTGGCAAATTCTGCCCTAAAGCTGCCATTCTCAGCCGCAGAGCTGGAATTAAGCGCCGCTGAATTCAGTGGGTCTGATTTTGAAGCAGATTCACTGGGAAATAGGCACTATGAAAATGTAAATGCGGTTTATTTGTTTTTTGCTGTTCATTTCCCAGAGGTGGGAATCCGTTGCTGTCCGTTTCTGCACAAATGGGGGGGGGGACTATATTGTAAAGGAGGTTTTGTATCATATCTAGATCTTTACATTTTATTTTTTGACATATTTAATCGGGCAGGTAGGCAAGGAATTTATTTGAATTTTAAATGTTAAGCATGATTGTAACTATAATTCCACAGAGAAAAGTCAATTAACAGAAGTATGTTTATGTGGAAGTAAGTTTCCACGATTTGGGTGCAAACTTCAAAATACAACATGTCCGAGTATTGATAAAAATGCAATTTCAGTCTACTATCCCTTTCTGGGAAAAAAATGATTTTCCTATTCAGAAATGCCTGATTGTGGCCTACGGTTGCCTTTTTTTTTTTTTTTTTACTTCACTTACTTGAGAGTAAATTCAGAGTCAATGGGATTTATTCCCCACAGAACAAAGTGAACCTTAGGGGCTGTGCCAGCTGCGGAATCTACTCCTCATGCATATCTTTTAAATGATCCCATTTGTTCTGAGAAAATATCCGTTGCCATTTTAGCCAGATCAGTAGAAAAATGGAGGCTGAAATTTTAGTCAGAGTTACCTGGCTAGGAGTAAACCCCTGTTTACAATATCTGTGTAAACATGCATTGTATTTTCACTGGAAAGTTTCAGAGTCTGTTTTTTGGAACTTGGTTCTATCAAAAGTTCAGTTATTTCTTTACTGCCAAATAAGATAAAACGGCTTTGTGCATCCTTGCATACGGATTTAATGTAGAACAAAGTAGTTAAATTTCATTGGTTTGATGCTGCTGCTGCTGCTGCTGCTGCTGCTGCTGCTTATTTCTGAAATAGGGATGCTAACGAAAACGGATTTCACTTGATTTATCTGGGGAACCCTGTGGATCCGGGAGAAATCCATTTAGCAATTAGGCCCAATGCTTTGGGAGATTCGAGTTTGGGGTTTTGCTCTTGGGTTCCAGTTGGTCCCTCCCTGTTCAAGATCACAGTGAAATTCTGTTCTGTGGTGGTGAAGTTTTCTTTTAAAAGAGTAGCAGACAAGCCACAGAAGCCCAACTTAAATATTTATTGGGGGGGAAACCTGAACACAGGACATGAAGCACAGCAGGTTGAGTGAATGCAACCATCGCGGTTGATAATGCAGGTCTGGGCTTCAAAAGACTATCTAACATATGAGTTGCAGATCTGTGAAAGAGGGGAGCTGAGCTGAGTTGCAGAATCCCCACTCCGTTGTATTATTATTATTATTATTATTATTATTATTATTATTATTATTATTATTCTCTGCTGCTGCTAGGAAACTACAAGAACCATAAGCTGACACACAGCGGTGAGAAGCAGTTCAAGTGCACCATTTGCAACAAGGCCTTCCACCAGGTCTACAACCTGACCTTCCACATGCACACCCACAATGACAAGAAGCCCTTCACCTGTCCCACCTGCGGCAAAGGCTTTTGCCGGAACTTTGACCTCAAGAAACACGTCCGCAAACTGCACGACAGCGGGAGCGGGGGCGCCACCCTGGGGTTGCCTTGCAGCGGCAGCGAGCCAGATTTGCCACCGCCGCTGATCCACCACACGCGACGCGCCCGTG